CATGCTCTAGATTAGTGGTTCTCAATCTTCCTAATGCGACCCTTTAATACAGCTCCTCATGTGACCGCCAACCATACCATTATTTTGGTTGCTACTTCATAGCTGTCATTTTGCTACTGTTATGAATCAGGTGACCTCTGTGGAAGGGTCGTTTGACCCCCAAAGGGGTCTCGACCCACAGGGTGAGAACCGCTGATCTAGAGCATCGACTCTTCTATAATTCTGCTTTCTAGACCAGAATGGCTGTCAATTTGCAAAAAGAGAATCCAGGCAGGATGACAGCCACAAGCTATTTCTCTCTCCTGCAGTGGTTCGACTCAGTGTTCTTAGACACAATTTGAAGGGTGTTTGGTCACCTCTGCATTTGAGCAACAGCGCCTGCTGTGACAGGTGTGTGTCTGCCAGGCCACAAGACTGGGTGACAAGCTGTCCTCGCACGATGTGTGTGGGTATCTTCGTGGGAGTGGAGGTGGTTTTTCTTTTTGTTTCGAGAACTGGTGCTGGAAAGTGCTGGGGGACGACACCTTCCGATATCGCTATCTTCACAATTATTGCTAAAAAATGTTTTTGCGAGCCCTTGCAGCTGGAGGAGCCCCCGAGACGATTGCCCTGAGTTAGTCTTTAAAACTCAAACCAAAAATATCCCCTGAAGTCTTCATTAAACCCAGCAATAGGTTAGCTTGTTATTGAAGAATGTTTGCCTTGAGCTCTGTGTACTTTGAAAGAAGAAGCGATAGGGGAGCAAATTGACAAGCCTAAGTCAAAAGGTCAGATAGCAAGCTCCGTCTGCATTCATGGGGCTCCACAACCCGAGGAACACTCACCCCTTCCTGGAGGGAATAGAAAAGAGCTGTCAGGGTGGCATTTGCTAAAAAATACGATTATCCTTATCATTTCTGCTGGAAATGAGTTATCATGGATGGAGCCCTGGTGGTGTAGTGGTTACACTTTGGGCTGCGAGTAACATGGTTGGCAGTTCAAAACTGCCAGCAGCTTCTGGGGGCAGGGGCGGGGTGGTGGTGAGACTGGGCTTTCTATTCCTGTAAACAGTTAAAGTCTCAGAAATCCACAGGGGGTGCTGTGAGTCAGCGCTGACTCCATGGCAGTGTGCATGAGAACTAGGAGTCCCTGTGGAGTGGATTCACCTCTTGTGTGTCAGTGTTTTCAACAGTCGATTTTTTCAGAAGAAAGAAACCAGGCCTTTCTTCTGAGGCACCTCAGGGTAGACTCAACCCTCCAACTTTTCACTTTTCAGTTGAGTGTGTTAACTGTTGACACCACGCAGGGACTCCACAGTTACTACTGCTCGGAAGACTTGGAGGCAAAGCTCAGATAGTTATACAGCCATGTTCCCTGTAGCACTCATCCCAGTAGGCAAAATGCAGAAACAACCTGCTGTCGTCCGTGGATAGATGGATCAACAAACTGTTTATTCTTTATTATTCAGCTGTAATGAAAATCCAATTTGTGGTGCATGCTACCATGTGGAACAACCTTGAATACGCCCTGCTGAGTGAAATAAGTCAGACACAAAAGGACACACAGTATATAATCCCACTTAGTATTTAGAACAGACAAATGCACAGCCAGTGTCATTGAATTGCATGTGTTGAAATTGTTGAGTTGGTACACTGCTGTTATGTTGTCAACAACAATAAACAGGGTCAGAAAATAAAAAATACTTTGTGCTAGAGAACATACAAACTTTTATAATGTGAGAGGAATT